TCTTCATAATTATTATCATGATATTCAGTTATGTTGATCAAGAGGACCACCTTTTACCTACTTTGACCGTTTATGAATCCTAGTCTCGTTGATGACGCATCAAAGTTAGTATAAATATATTTCACCCGCTTTTATAAGTTTATTTTTATTGATTAGAGAACATATTGTCAACGTTCTCCTTTCATTTATTTTTTTTACATTTTTTTTTTATTTCATGTACTTATTTAATCAACATTATTGATGTTATTTACTATTTCAACACAGTAGCTCCTCTTCTGAAGATATGATATTGTCCGATGCTACCTCTGATGAGGATGATGCTAACATTAATGTGATGAGTCGATACGGTATTTATCATCACTTTATTATACATTTAAATACCAAAAACGAATAGAAAAATTTATTTATCACCATCGATCTATCTTTCTTTCAATAATAATAATATGCGAATATGTTATGTCGAAAAAATTACAGAGCCAACAAAATCTACCCGAGAATATCGACGTAAAATGTCACCACGAAAAGGTCGTACATCTCCTCAAGCATCTAGTTCAAGCAAACCTGGTAAACGGAAGGTAAATTGATTAAAAGTTCCATTATATTACATTATTTTATTTTAATATTAAATCATATATTTCATTGGTAGGCTGATGATGGAATAGGTGCTGATGAATTACCGCAGAAGCGTCGTCGAAAACCACCGGGCGTGGTAAAGTATCATATATCATCAATTAAACTATTCATTTAAATATAGTGCGATATTAAGTATTATTTCTTTTTGATTTAGAAAAAGAAACGGGATGATCGTACTGATGCCAAAAGGATTGAGGTTTGTAATACAACACTATTTTTTATATACATGCTATATCTATAATCACATTATTTATTAATTTATTTGTTATAAAATGATCGAGTACAGCCTTTACCTATGAATTCTGATGGTACATTGAAATTGCCAGTTACCATTGGAAAAGGAACTAATGAAGTGACAATTTACAAGATAGGTAGGTACATAAATATCTATTGACGTTATTTGTTAACAAATTTGTTAAATTATTAATGTTTACGTCTTAATTAAAGGTGATATCGTTTGGGATAGGGAAGCGTATCATACTAATCGTTATATATTTCCTGTTGGGTTTATGAGCAAAAAACAATACTTGAGTGCCGTTGATGTTACAAGAAGAACAACCTATACTAGTGAAATCTTGGATGGTGGTGACACTCCAATCGTAAGGGAATTAATTGTATATGATTTAACCATGTACATATCACCTGAGATTAACATCTTATTTCTTCAGTTTCAAGTTACTGCTGAAGATCAACCGGGTCGTAAGTTTGTTGCAAGTTCTTCGAGTGGCGTATGGAAAAAGATTCTTGATGAGATCAATGTACAAGGTGTACCATCAAAAACACATGCCAGTGGTCCTGAGATGTTGGGATTAAGTCATTTAGGTATTACTAAATACATTCAGGTAAATTTGCGAATAATATAAGTACTCATGTATTCCTATTTATTGCATTCTTATGAACTTTGCTGGGTTTTTTTTACAGGAATTATCTGGTGCGGAAAAATGTACAAAATATGTTATGCAGCGTTGGATCGATGACGATCAACCTATGCAAATTCAGCCACTTATTAAGCATGAGCCTATGGAGGAGGATGATGATGAAGACGGCAGGTCGGCAATTACGAATGGTCATGCTCATTTTGAACATCAAATAAAACAAGAAGCTGTCAGTCCTTAAATGGCCTTGGCTTATTTTACTTGGTTATATTTTCTCTCATTATTTTATCCTTTTCGAGAAATATAATAGTCATTAATATTGCATTAAATTCAACAAAACTTGAAATTTTTGAATTTGATTATTATATTTCTCGTTGGTATATATTTGTTTTATAGTTACTAATATTGATTTTTTTTATTTACAAACATTCTTTCCAATCCATAATTTATAGTTAAAATGTGATATATTTTATTACTTATTCTTTAAGTATAACGTAGGATAATATGAAATATATATATATATATTTTTTGAAATATTATTATTTTTTTATTTTCCTTCATCATATGTATATAGATATTAACAGATTTTGTTTTAGGGTATTTTATAAACGATGCAATATTTTTTTTATTATCATTCAAGAAATCGAAAAGAGAAAAAAAAGAGAAAAAAAAAAAAATCCGAAAAACAAAATTATTCATTAACTACATTAACTTCTTTTTAGCTATCAAAGCACAAATGAAATTAATATCATCAATCATTTATTCATTATATATATTATATATAATATATATTCTCTTAAAAAATATATATATAATTTAGTTTATAAGTCTTTATTATTATTATTATTATTATTATTATTATTATTACTATTATTATTATTATTATTATTACTATTACTATTACTACTATTATTATATTACTTTTGCTTGTATTAGTCTTTTTTTTTTTATTGTATTTTGTTGTATTAACTTTACTGTGAATTTTATTGTATTACTTAAACTTATTATTACTTATTACTTTTATTTTTTTTTTTTAAAAAAAAAATTAATAATACATTATATATATATATTATAATATTAATTAATAAACACAATATTTAGCATTATATATGTTATTAAGCCGATGATATAAATTTTTTTTTTTATTATATAAAAGATAGAAAATTAATTAATGTTATGTATTAATAAAATATATATATATCATTCAAGAAATTTTATATTATATGATAATAGCTAGAAATAAAGTGTAAGAAATTCAAAAAAATATAAATTATAATATGTTTATACAATAACAAATTCTTTCTAACGTCTTTCTTTTACAAAAAATTGCAAACAAACAAATGATAATACTATAAATGAACCAAACATTACAGTTAATTTTAATACATCTGTCCAATATGCTGATGCATCAAAACCAAATGTTGATAAAATAGTTGCTCCAGGTACCTATTAAATTTTTTTTGAAGCGAAAATTTCATAAACCATTAAACACAAACAAAAAAAATATATATAAAAGAAAAAGGAATCCCGTGATTACTTACATCAATTTGTAATCCAAATTTTTCTTCGGTTAATGTTAAATAAACCACTTCATTAACAATTAATGCTTCAAATGCATAATTAAAGAAAGAAAGATCTTTCAACCAAGTCAAATATTCTGGAATTGAATCTGGAAAAAAAATATATATACATGTTCCTTAGTAATTTGAATCATAATCAGCAATAAACCTACATCTTGCATACCTTTATTCAAAAGTAAACCACCAAACAACATGCTGAATAACATGACTAAACTGCTCAACAAACTGGCAACTCCCATTTCTTTAAAGAGAATCCCAATACAGAGACATATGCTTGCCGCAGTAAGATTGAATAAGACTAGTACAAGTAAGAATTTGAAAATTTCTGCAGTTCCATTAACCAATCCCACCATATGATATATAATAACTCCCATAAGGATAGGAGGTATTACACGAAGTGGAATAATATCAAATAAAACCTAATAAAGCAAATAAAAGACGTATATCAGTTGTCGTTTAAAATACAAATAATATTTTACAATATCTACCTTGGACGCGAAATATGTAATTGGAGCATAATAGCCATTTGCTCGCTCTTTTACAAATAATATTCTTTCTGTTGCAAAAACATGCAAGGAGCTCAAGCATCCGAATCCAAAAAGTGCACACATAAAGAATAATATACCCATTCGATTTTGAAACCCTGCGATATCATTAGTAACCTTATAAAACAATGAACCACAGAGAACTAAATAAACGGATGAATTAATATTAATAAACGAGAAATTTATAATTTGCTATTTTTATATAATATACTTACGCGCTAGATAAACACTGATACAATAATGTGTAAGCATTAACATTGGATTTCTATAAAGGTTCTTGAATGTACGATCCGACAAAATACGAAACTGTGTGAACCACGAAGCGCGAAGATGGGAACTAACTGTGGGATATTCTCCATCTGAAGTTAATAAAGGTTGATTTTGCTCGCTGATAAATTAAAGATGTAGAAATTAATATATAATTACTATAATATGAATGCAACAATAAAATGTACTCACTTCGTTATAGCACGATTAATTTCATCCTTTATTCCAAGAGCAATCATACTCCTATTATAACTAATAATTAACATTCTCAAGTGATCTGTCATTCCATCGCTATTCATATTAATATTAATGCTATCATTATTTAGAGTTTGATTTTCACGATTGTTTAACTCAAAAGCACCAATATATTCTTGCTGATCTGATGGACGTAATGATCGCCTATTTGGTTCGTATAATTCCGAATCTTGAATATCATGAATAGAAACACGATTTCTCAAAATTGGGCGTGTTTCAGCTGCGATATTTGAAGAAATGGTTGAAGAAATTCCGTCATTTTCATCATCAAAAGTGGGTGGTTTGACCGCATACATGGTCAAATCAACTATTAAGAATTATAATAATTATATTTAAAATTTTGTAATTATCACTGAAAAAAAAAAAAATTTAAATTTCAAACCTAGATAGTCGGCAATATTGAAACCAGGAGGACACTTATGTCCAATATTTTCAAAGTATGATTGACATTTATTTGCTTCTCCAGAATATACCATATGACCTTTAGCAAGTAAAACCAATTGGTCAAATAAAGCAAAAATATTACTTCTCGGTTGATGTATTGTACAAATAACTGTACGATTATAATTCCTTGCAAGGGTAACAAGACATTCAACTACATTGTATGCATTATATGCATCTAATCCAGAAGTTGGTTCATCAAGGAATAAAATCGATGGAGATGTGACTAATTCACAAGCAATTGACACACGACGCTTTTCTCCGCCAGAAATTGATCTTGCACCTGTTTTTATGAAAAACCGGTTGGTACTGTTGAGGTAATGAATGAGGTTTACAAAGTTTCAACAAAATCACAAAGATAAAAATACATTAAATCCTCAAACTTACCGGCATCACCTATCCTAGAATCTTTAATTCCCAAAATTCCCAATTCACTCATCGTCTCTATAACTCTAAAGTTTTTGGCCGCGAAACTCATTTCGCGGGGCAATCGTAAAAGCGCAGAATACAGAATAGTTTCATAAACGGTCAAAGTAGGTAAAAGGTGGTCCTCTTGATCAACATAACTGAATATCATGATAATAATTATGAAGA